TAACTGAAAATTTAACATTTTTATTATAAAATAATATGTTGAGAAAATATAAAACTATTTTATATTAATAATGTTGAATAACAAAGTAAAATGTTAAAGAATATTATATATTAATAATGTTGAATAAAAACCTGCATCATTTAGATTATAAATTTACACAATATATAACATAAAAATATAAATTATATATTTAAAATATGTACATTAATATTAAATAAAATTTTAAAAATGAAAAATATACCCGCACGAATGTGCGGGTAAAAACTCTAGTATTAAATTATACATGCAAGATATTATATCGGTTAACGTTGTTGTTATCGTGTGTTGAATTCAGGCAGGATCGGTCCATATCTAGTAGAGGTCCCATTCAAATTTATTTAAATTTTTTTTTTATATATAAAAAAAACTAAATTCAAAAAAATCACAAAATTTTTTAGACTCTAAACAGTGGTTTACTTTACGCAACTTGTTTTAAGAGTAACATGAGACTTTTCATAATGTAAAATATAAATAATTTTGAAGTTAGTTTTGAAATTTTTCTTTTGGAAAATAACAATGTAAAACTTCAAATATAGAATTTGGGAAACTTCAAGATTAGTAAAGTTTTTTTTTAGCAACGTGTCTTTAGGTAGGGTATTTTCTAAATTTTTGTTTCAATTAGGTATATACATCAAATTGTCTCTCAAAAAAATCTAAATATAAATTTAAGCAAAAATAAGACTTGGTAAACACTACTTTTGTTTGGTGCGGACAATTTATTTTTCCAAATTCATGTAAATAGTTTAGGGGACCAATATATGTGTGTAAATTTGACTATTTGACACAAAGATATTGCTTTCGACGCGAAATAATATTTGGCTTTTCTCTGTGGATTTTTCTTTGTGGAATAAATGCACAGTCTGTTAATGTGTATATAAAGAGTGGCCATTGAAGCATTGACTCATCACCAGTTTCCTTTTTGTTTTTGCTCTTTCGTTTTTGATATTCGAGAATGAGAGGCTTTTGGAGTACCATTTCTCTTACTCTTTCTATACTTTTCCTATTCGGCTATAATTATGAAGACGTGTATGCAGTTCCTACCACACACCTGTGTCGTCCTGATCAAAGGGATGCACTTCTCCAGTTCAAGAACGAGTTTAAGGTTCTAAACTCTTCCTCTGCTTATTATGAATGTGGTATTAAACCTCATGGGAAGACAGAGTCATGGATGAATAACAGCGACTGCTGTAATTGGGAGGGTATCACGTGCAACCCCAAGTCCGGTGAAGTGATCGAGCTAGACTTTAGCTGCAGCTACCTTGGTGGTCGGTTTCATTCCAATAGCAGTCTTCAAAACCTTCATTCTCTAACCACTCTAGACCTTTCTCAAAATGATTTTCCGGGTCAGATTCCATCTTTCATTGGAAATCTTTCCCTTCTCACATATCTTGACCTTTCTTCTAATCAAATTTCGGGTCAGATTCCATCTTCCATTGGAAATCTTTCCCTTCTCACATATCTTGACCTTTCTTCTAATCAAATTTCGGGTCAGATTCCATCGTGGATTGGAAACCTTTATAAACTCACTTATCTTGAGCTTTCTGTGAACAATATTGTTGGTGAAATCCCATCTTCTTTTGGCAATTTAAACCAGCTGACCAGCTTAAGTGTTTATCGCAATGAGCTTACTGGAAGCTTGCCCATTACACTACTGAATTTGACAAGGTTGTCATCTTTACTACTCAACTTCAACCATTTCACAGGAACAATTCCTCCAAACATCACTTCTCTACCCAACCTGACCATTTTTCAAGCAGTTAGCAATTCTTTCACTGGAACCGTATCTCTCTTCACCATTCCTTCTATTGAAGAAGTTTCTTTGTCTGATAACCAATTCAACGGTATTCTTGAGATTGGGAATATATCTTCACCACCTAAGCTACGAGTGTTAGACGTTGGCAATAACAACTTCAGAGGGCCAATTCCTGGCATGATATCCAAATTTACTAAACTTGTCGGGCTTGACCTTTCCCATTACAAGACACAAGGTCCAGTTGACTTTAGTATCTTCTCCCATCTCAAGTTGCTCGAATCTCTTGACATATCCCATTTGAACACGACCACTACGATTGACTTGAATGATTTCTTGTCATCTTTTAAGAGTCTCAATTGGTTGGATCTATCGGGAAACCATGTTTCAGCCACAAACAAGAGTCCAGTTTCAGATCCCCCTTTGCTGTATTTGTTGCACTTGTCAGGCTGCGGTATCACCAAGTTTCCAGAGAAGCTTGTAAAAACCCAACGTATTGGGAGTCTTGACCTTTCCAACAATAAAATCAAAGGACAAGTGCCTGGCTGGTTATGGGCGCTACCAAATCTGGTTTACCTGAATCTTTCCAACAACACTTTCACCAGCTTCGAAAACTCAACTGAACATGGGCTAAAACATCAGGCATCTGTGATGTACTTGTTAGCCTCCGACAACAATTTCACAGGAAAGATTCCCTCCCTCATATGCGATATGCGTTATTTGTTACTTCTTGATTTATCGAACAATAACTTCAGCGGTTTAATCCCTCCTTGTTTGGGAAATCTCAACGGTAGTCTCTTCGATCTAAATCTTCGTCAAAATCGTTTTCATGGAGGTCTTCCAGAGAATATATTTGAAAGATTAAGAACGCTTGACGTCGGTCATAACCAACTGACGGGGAAGCTTCCAAGATCTTTGATCAACTTCTCTTGTCTTGAGGTTCTGAACGTGGAAAGCAACATTATCAATGATACATTTCCATCTTGGTTGAGTTCTCTACCAGAGTTGAAAATTCTTGTGTTACGCTCCAATGCTTTCCATGGACTGGTACATCATACTTCGTTCCCTAAGTTGCAAATCATCGACATATCGCATAATCACTTCAATGGAGCTTTGCAATCAGACTACTTTGTGAACTAGGAGAACTCTCATTCCTTTCCTACATGAACTTCTCTCATAACCAGCTTTCTGGTCTAGTACCTGGAGGCACTCAGTTTCGAAGGCTGAACTGCACTTCATTTGAGGATAACATTGGACTTTTTGGCCCTTCGCTGGACGAAATTTGCAGAGATATTCACACGCCATCACCCCATGAAACGCCGGAATCAGAGGAAGAAGTGCTGAGTTGGATAGCAGCTGTAATAGGAGCCATACCTGGTCTGGCCTTTGGATGGGTGCTTGGATACATACTTGTTTCCTACAAACCGAGGTGGTTCATTTACCCTTTTGCCCGAAACAAACGCAGACGCAGCAGCACCACAACTCATTAAAGAGGTAATATATTCCAGAGTTTTGAACCAACTTGTTAGTAAACACTGGAAGAAACAAAATTATTATAGTCAAACCTTCTTCTCTTTTGGTACAGGTCTTTTATAGCCAACCTGAGGAATCTGAAAGAAGAAATCCAAAGCAACCACTATGTCGAAATCCTGATTAGTGAAGATTTGGGTTTATTGTTTCTGCCTTTCTAGTATAGCTTGGTGTGTTGTCCCTATACCTCTCTGTTTTTTACATTTTCTAGCAAACTTCTTTGTTTCTCTGTAACTGAAAAAACTCTGCTCCTTGCGTTTGAGAACTACTTGCTCAATCAAATATGTGTTGTATTTCCCCCTCTTTTTGTTATCTTAACATCAACTGCATAGACGTGATCAGAGCAACAAACAAATGATCCAGATCAACACTATAAGCACCACATGAGTTCAGAAAAGGATATACTCTATGTGGCTTTTTAGATTTACATATTAGTGATTGTATCATTGCTAAAAATGATTAAATATAATTTGTAAATTCTTATCAATTAAAAATGTTGTTGATTAGTTTCATTTGGTGTTATAGCATACCTGAGCTGGAGACTCCTATAAAGCTCAAGGGGAGCTTACATCACTGCGAATCTTAGAAGGAATGTAAACCTCTGACAGAAAAGACAGTGAGTGAACTGAGAGTGCTTCGATCTCAAACTTTACTCCTCTTTTCAGCATCGTTTCAAGTTCCAACCTTAAAGACGAAGTCGTATGACTGTATTAGTTTTGTGATTTTGGATGACATGTGAATACAAAAACAGAAGTGGAAGTTTTGTTGATACCTCCATTGTGGCATTTCACGCTTGAGATAGCATCTAAGCAACATTGCTTCAGTTCTTTTCTTATCTGTGAGTGATAATTGCCAAGTCTCAGAAAAGCTGTGAATAAGGGACAAATACAAATGTTTTAATGATCTTACCTTCTTCTGTTAATGGCAAGAGACACTGTTGGGGAACACCGTATATCTCAGAGTCTGAAGGGAAAGCTCCCAACCATTTCATCTCGGGTGCTCGTAATGATTCTATATCATATGCCATTTGCTTACAGAAAGACAAAAAAAGGTAAAACAATGATTAGTTTGAAATGGATCAAAACCATTCAACAAGACAACACAGGCGGTGAAATATATTAAGTTAAATAATCTCTTTTCTATAACCGAATCTAACCATCGAGCCAAAACGGTATGTGGCTAGGATCTCAAAGCCATATGGATCACAGTCTACTAGACAATGCACAGGTAGTTGCAACTTCTCCATCAGGAGTCGCAAGAACCTGGTGAGAAACGATGTTATTCAATGATACATTTGTCAATAGAGGAGAATGTCTGATACAATAGTATTTCAGGAACCTGAAATTAAGTTATGTACCTTCTTGTAGAGACATCAGGATAGCCTCTTCCCTGCCAAAAACGATCATACATTTGATGTGAAATAAAAACCGGAAGGAACAAAAAGGAAAACTAGGCAAAACTTAAAAGCCTTAAGAATGAATAAACTGCAGTGCTTACTGTGATAACGATGCAGCGGTTTGTCTTGCAAAACATGTCATTTGCTAAACGCTGGAATACTATAAACCATCGATCAAGTTACTAATTAAGTTGGTAAGTCAAGCAGAAAGAAAAGCATCTTCTGGTTACTATATTAATAGACGGTTTACCTGTTTCTTTTTCCACCACCAGTATGTACTCTGCTAAACTAACAACATCTGCAAGCAGGAAGATGACATCCAGTTATCAGTCCTGATCACAATATTGCCAGCTAAGATAAGTATATAGATTCTCTATAGAGTATAAACCCTCGTTCAAACTTATTGCCTAATAGTGACAAAGCAAAATCCTGCTATATATGTAAACCTCAGACCTTCTAAAGACCATATCAGAAGGCAATAAAACAGATGAAAAAAAATATTCATCACGGATATCATACCTTCAACTTCCTCTACAAGAACAGGAACAGGAAATGCCTGTAAAATGAAATCATTTGTAGAGTTATACTTCCTGCCGCCAACATAAAAAAGTGAATCTTATGTCCCACTATTACCGTATTCAGACTGCTTAAACAATCAAACTTCCTTCCAGCTTCCCTAAACTTTAGCCATCCCATCACCAACCTACAACACAAGGTGGATCTTAAAACAAGCCTCATGCACTGTAATCGCTGTCAAAAGTACCCACCCATTTCCAACAGACACCTGCAAAAATATCAATGAATCACAGAGTAATCACATAACTGATACTCAAACCGAAGGTGAAAAATATTCCCAAGTACTAACCACATTCAAGTTGTACCGACTACACCGGAAAAGGATGCATATATCAGCAATTGCACGATCTACAACTGATTGTGCTGTGTAGCAGACAAACACAGTGTTACTAAAAAACCAAGAGTGATACAGAATCATATTCAAGGCAGACAAAAATATGTGAATAGGGATTATCAAGAATAAAGTAAACAAATAATGTTCTTCTAGACTCACCTTTGAATGCTGATGGGTGCATGTAGTAGATATCTCTTTTGGATCCATGTCTATTTTCTTGAAGAAGTTGTTGAACTATCAACAATACTCTTAACATCATATCTGAAGGTAAAAAACATCTCAAGAAATTACATATAGTGATACTGGTTAGACTCTGAACGTGACTTGACTCACCGATTCTATAGGTTTGCGATCTCTTCTTAAGAGTGAGAATCTCACGACCTTTTGGTTCATCAGAGCTGCACAAACTGTACACAGCAGAAGCGAATGGTAAGCTTATGATTGCTCGAGCCAAGGCCAATCACGTAACAATTGAAAATCGAGAGAGAAGAGAGAGACGAACCAATCAGCTTCTGGATCATTGCAATAGTTTCTGAATCGATTGATGAAAATTTCTGGAGATTTTCCGTCGGTTAGATCTTCAACGATCGATCGAGTAAACTCTGGTTTCAAAACACGAATCATAGTGAGTGAAATAACGAAAATCATTCAACGTAATTGAGAATTAATCGTACGATTCGATAATTAGCGATTGTGATTTGAGATCGATGTTACCTTTGATCTTTTGGAGCAAATTAGTCGTCTCTGAAATTTGAAAATTTCCCTCCATCTTCTCCTTCATGTTCTTTTTTTAGAATCGAGAATGCAATCGGGGAGGAGATTTTTTAAAGACGAGAAAGGGAAGGGTGCGAACTGCTTGCCGTTATAAGCTTAAAATTAGAACATGCGTGCCGATTTATTAATACCCTCGCAATGAAAACTCCGTGACGTAGTTGTTACGCACAACCGTTAACCGACATGGCGTTTTTAGAACGCGTGGGGGTACTGCGTAACTTTTTGTCGTGCTGAGGTCATCTTTTGCTACCGTTAATGCACTTGGGCCGTAAATTAGATTGGATAGGGATAGTTTAAATTCTGTGGTCGAACTTTATTAATGAGTATAAATTTTCATGTTATTTTCATGAACTTTGTTTTTATGGTATATATAACATTTCAAAACTACAATTTAATGGTGCCAATTTTACTAAGTAATAGTATATTGTTTAAATATTGTATTTCATTATTGTATTGTGTAAGAGGGGCGTCTTAAAATATTGTGACCCGTAAACATTTTAGTAATATTTTATAAAGTTTTTTGACTAAATTTGGTGTAAAA